ATGCGTAGGTGATGATTCCACAAAACATCTTCCAACCCTTGAGATATGCCTAGATTCCTTGCAATCAGCCAGTTCTGGGGGGCTGCAGGATCTCGACGGCCTTTGCCGCCAAGCATGTTCACGAGCACAAGCTAGGGGCATACTGCAGTGGCCGAAATATTTGGCAATATCATGTTGGGCCTGTTTGAGGTACGCTTACTGCACAAATACAAGGACTACGGGACCATAGTATTGGTTACCGTTTGATTAGGCTTCTACAGTACACTCCGTGGTGCAGGGCTACTGACACCCCAAATGGGCATGGTTGATACCATCTCCAACTTGAGAACCCTAAACCCTAAACCCTACCTATCATTATTTCATGATGGAAGGTTCTCAAAAGCGAGCTTCCCTCATGCATTCCCAGGACAACACCAGACCAACAACAGTTGATCCCAGAATGGAGCAAATAATGGGCTTAGGGTTTAGGATCCCATAATGGAGCAAATACCTAACCCTAAACATGCAGTTGAAACTCAGTAGCTGCCAGCACTATCTGCTTGTACTCTTGAAAAACATAACTAGTTTGTTTAAACCCCAATTCTAATTGAATAGGCCTACGCAACTACATGCACTCAGATAGGAATTTATCAAGTAATTTCCAATGGGGACCCCTGTAATCCCTCATAGTCCCTTTCTCTCTATCTCTGTCTGAGCGCATAGCATATATGCTACTAACCCCTAGACCCCGAATGCCAAATCCTAAACCCTTAATCCTAAGCCTTAAACCCTAAATCCTAAATCCTAAACTCTAAACCCTGAACCCTAACCCTGAAACCCTTAATCCTAAACTCTCAACCCTGAAACCCTAAACCCTGAAACCCTAAAACCTTAAACCCTAAACCCTGAACCATGAAACCCTAATTCAGCCCGGGGTTCCTAGAAACTCCCAAGCGCCTCCCGCAGCTTCTGCGCAATCTCGTGCATTTTGGGTGACCCCACCTGCACTTTCATAGTTTTTTCTGAGTTCCTAGAAAAGGGTTTAGGGACCGTTTAGGGTTTAGGGTCTGTCTCCTCGAAATTCTTCAACAATAGTATAGGGTACTATGTTAGGGGTTGTACTTTCTAAATCCTCCGAGGCGTCTGAAATATGGTACCCTAACCTGCTACTGGATATTCTAGGAACCCATAAATAAAGGTAGTTCGTTCTATTTCAAGTTCGGTTTGAGGTTTAGTGTTTTGCTTGGGGGATGTTAATGTTTTACGTGGGCTTACCTGGTTTCTGGGTGTTCTGCCCTCCAAAAACTTCAGTGCTTCTGTAAAGAAGCTATCATCGGGTTGTATGTCCCTGCACCCCCCGGAAGTGGTGGGCTATCCAATTCAGGGAATGGGAGTAATCTTCAGTCTTGAAGATGTTCGAATGTGTGCCAGGATTGAGGGCGGGGATACTTACCCAGATCATCTACACTCCCCCCAAATAAGAGGGAACCTGAAAAGGAGCCCTTTACCGACTGTGGCCCTTTCAAAAAAGGGCTATGTGAATTTCATGTCAGCTATAGTCTAAACTCCTAGTACCCCCCCCCCCCCAGTGTGAATTTCATGCGAGCTAAAATCTAAACTCCTAGTAGCCCCCTTAACAACCCTTACAATACTCCTTTATATAATCCCCTTATCAGGAGTTTAGACTATAGCTCATGTTGGTTTGGGGAGGGTGAGGCCCTGGGATGCACGCAAATTGTATTTGGATTATTAGTGGATAACAGCAAGTTATGCACAGTCAAAACAAGCATGATGATCACAACAATACTGTTAATGGGCAGAGCGAGACACAACACCAAACCCTAAAACCCTAAACCCTAAACCAAACCCTAAAATCCTAGACCCTAAAACCCTCAAACCCCAAACCCTAAGCCCCAAACCCTAAACACCCAAACACCCTCCAATGCAAGGCCTCAAGGTACCTTGCCCCTCCCTGAAACCTTACCATCCAAGTAGTTCAGTCTCTTCATGTAGGAGCCTAAATGGGGAACTGTCAAAATTATGGTCCCTTTTTGGGTCCCTATTCTAATACGGGGCCTAATTTAGGGTACCCAAAAAGGGACCATAATTTTGACAATCCCCCATGTAGGGTAGGGGTTTGGGTAGGGTAGGGCGGGTAGGGGTTCTGCGCCCTAGGCCCTATAGTGATTTGGCGCTATAGCTTT